CCTAATCAAATTTGCTTATCGCGACCTCGTGCGGGCAATTAAACTGATAAAAAGCGAAAACGTTGCTATCATCTTGACATCTTGAGCATACTCAATACCCATTATATACGCAAATCTTGGCAGATTTGCCAAAGTCAAAGAGACAAGACTTGATCAAAAAAATGACCGGAGCTGAGCCCCACGTGATATTTTGAGTACGTGTAATGCGAATGGTATATGAAGTGAAATAAAAAACAAAATGTTTTTGACAATCCTAATATTTCTATGGGTGAGATTGAGAGTGGAGTATGTTTTTTTTACTTTTCCGTACACAACGTGTCAAGGGAAAGTATAGGAATTGGTCCCGAAAACTTTTTTCGCAAAATTGGTTTAGATCATAAAAACTCATGAAAAGCGTAGAAAACCACTTTTTGAGATACTTTTTCGTTCGTGTGCCGTCATCGTTGTCGTCGTCGTTGTCGTCGTTGGTATTTGTTAACACGACAACTCAAAAAATAATTGAGATAATCAAAATCTGGAAATGCCAGAAGTTTTGTATCCAAAAAACTTAGTTTAAGTTCGAAGATGAGCCATTTTCGATTTGATCCTGGGGTACTTGCCCTAAGAAAAACCTCAAAAAATTGACACTTTTGTATGGGAGGTACCCTTTAATCGATTCTGATTGGCTTCAAACTTTCTGAAGTTTCATTTTTCGGAGAAAAAGTAAGATTTGATTTTTTGTCCTCAATTTTTGTCGAAATTTTCTTGGAAAAAATTGAGGGACAAAAACCAACTTCTGCAAATGCGATCAACATGAAACTTTCAGAATCTTAATTTTTCTCCAAAGAATGAAACCTCAGAAAGTTTAAAGCCAATGAGAATCGGTTTACGGGTACCTCTCATACAAAATTGTCGAAGTTTTAGTTAAAGTGACCGATTTTTCACTTTATTACTTTTCCGCAAACTTGTTTGTTAGGAAAAGTATTGGTTTTACTAGCCAAAATTTCATGACATCTCCTCTTTCGGACCACTATAACGTCACGCCAAACTTGAAAAAGCACATATCTGTACACTAGGCAATGTAGATGGGATCAAATCCTATCGATCAAGACCTATCTACCCCCAAAAACATGTTGTTTACAATGAAATATGTGCAAAATAGCGATGTGCGTATGGCGTCGTTCGCGTTCGCGTCCGAGCTTTTTGTTCGCCGATTATCTCAAAAAGTTGACAAGATAATTGAGATCTGTAAAAGCCAAAAGTTTTGGCATGTCGAGACAAAGCTTCGGATTGATTTTGAGCCCATTCTGATTTACCAATGGATTAAATGTTTTTCGTCTAAAAAATGTGTAAAATCGTCTAAAAAAATTAAAAAAATCGTCTAAAAAAATAATTCATTTTGAATTAGTGTTGGCCGTCGAACACTTGTTCGACCGTTCGAAAGCATTTAAAAAAATTGTTTTGTTCGTTCGTCTAGGGGCTAACCACGGATTTTTTATTGAGAAAATCTGTTTTTATCGCCCAATTTTAATGACATCCGTAAAAAATTGAAGAAATCTGTATATATTGAATTTTATCGTTCAATATCCACTATAAACGTTTAATGTGCTGACGTCATTACCGATTCAAAAATGCTGGAAGTGGGTTTTGGTGGATCCTCAGGATCGTTTAGTACTGCTCCCGGTTCTGGAAGGGGATCCTCAGGATGGGCCAGGGCATTGTCAAACCCAGTCTGATCCATCCTGAAGATCCACCAAAACCCACTTCTAGAACAGTATGCATTCGTTGAAGCGAAAAAATTACTGCAAAAATCGGGCAAAATCGACCAAAATGTGATCATATCGGAATTTATTTGTTTAAATGATAAAAAATGTTAAATTCGGTCATTATTGGTTATTTTTAAAACCGTGGTTAGCCCCTAGTCGTTCGTTCGTTCGAAAGTTTTGTAAAAAATTATTTTGTTCGTTCGTTCGTGCGGTAAAAGGAGCCGAAAAGTGTTGACTTTGTTTGGTCCATTGTGGAAATTGAAAACAAAACCCTAGGGGAATATCACGCTTCTGAATCTTGTGAGATATTTGAAATATTTGAAATAAACATCAATTGTATGACATATTTTCGAATATTTCGAATAAATAAATCAGATTTTTGTGGATTTTGGAGATATTTGAGATTTTTTGCATTAAATCCGAATAAATACATTTAAATATCATTCATAATCACAAAAATCCACAATATTCCGCCGTATTCACAAATATCCACCATATTTCATACGACAGATTCTTAGAGATAAATTGGATTTTTTTGAAATATTTGAAATAAATTAAGCGTGATATTCCCCTAGACAAAACCACAAGAGAAAATATTCAAGAATTTGGTTTTCATCTTCAAAAAATGTCGATGGAATATTGAAACAATTCAGACCGATAACATGAAGAGTGAAATCGGTTGATGGTAAATTAACGAGTGATCACTGTTCACAAATCTCTTTATACATTCAACAGGAATGGCTTATCGTCGATTTAGAAGAAAGCATTTACATGGAAGATCCCATACCAAATCTTATACAAGGTATGTCACATGCATGAAGTTCGTAACTAAATGTATGCACAGTTTACTCTTTCCTCGTGTCCGCAGTTGCAAAAAATGTTAGTCTGCTATAAAAACAACGAATATCGATATTTCTGTTATTATATGAGCTTGGGTCTGATTTGCTTATCTGGATAAATGTACCCCAGGTTAAATGTACGAATTATTTGAGAGCTACCGGCAAAGTTTGCAGTACAAACCGTCATCAACATCCTCGTCTACTACCATTGATTTTATATGTAAAATAACAATAAGAAACGACAAAAGTGACCTCTCGTAGCGGCACAGTTGAAACTAACGAAACAAACACAATTGAACATGTCATTTTCATGTTCAGTGTTGGTTCTGTTGTTTACCGTATAGCCGGAGAGAGATGTCTACAGCTTAGTGGCGTTGAATGACATTCAACACCCATGGTCATCAATCACAATTCAAGAGCAAACTCAGACAAAATAGCTCTTATCGTTTGTTACCGACTACATCATTCCAGATTTATTGATCAGATAGGATGCAGTTGAGTCACAGTGTGACTGTCACACTATTTTCATATTGATATATTTTAACTGCGATTATTTTAATTGTGGTGATGGACTAACTTATCGAATGATTTATGGATATCATCAGATTAAAAATGCAAAATGTGTTAAAGCTAGATTGGGCACTTGGGTCACCTCCAAGGTTTAAAAACACCAACAAAAATGGTTTTCAGGTAAAATTCAAAGCAGTTGACTATGGATCGTAGATAAAAAAAATTAAATCCAGAGAATCAAATTGACTGAGTATTCCGCTGTGATATTTGTTGATAGCTGCTCATGTGTTGAATGTTCAACGTTCATAATGAACAAACATTGGCGAAGGTCGGTCTGCGATGTTCACTGGACTTCATTTATACTCAAACATATTTCAAGTACATACGCTCGATGTTCATCTTACTCCATCGTATTGTTTACATATCTCTTTATTCTTTCTCTTACATTTTGACGAGAAAAACAACAGTGAAAGTATTTGTAAATATATTAACAAAGTTAATTAGACAAACGAAGTTGGAAATATATTGAAATATCGAAAGTCTGCTATGAACATTGAACACGTTGTAATTCACAGAATTAAAATACACCGAATAGCCAGATATTGACAAATATTCCAACTGAATGTAGAGCTAATTTCATTCTCTGAGCAAATTTCATGTGATCGTTAGATCAAATTACCCAAAATATATGTGTTGTATTCAACAGTGGAATGCTTCGTATACTGATACATGTATTTGGTTGGAACTCGGTTGACCGAAGCGCCATCTAAAGAACCGATGGCGAATTCGTGATGTCTGTATGTTATACTTCAGTATGAAGTTTGACAGAACGGAGAGTTTACTTGGTTGTATTGTCATTAGCCTTAAATTATCTAGGTGATGTTTGCGCTCAATATCAGTTGTAAAATTCAAAGTGAATAGGAGCGTTGGTTGTATTAATAGAACTTGAAAAAAAATTATTTTACGCATCAAACTGGTGTAGTTTGGGCAAAACAACAAATAATTTTGAAGATATTTTAGGAAAACCGTCGAAACTGACACAAAACATTGTTTTAATAGATATCGATTCCTCGATTGGTGTTTGATTTGCGTTTATGTATCGAAGAAAATTCGACTTGAGCAGATTTTTCATTTTTATTCCAAGTTTATTGAATAAGCTAATTTTCGTGACACAAAAACAACTCACTTTGATTCACTTCTTTCAATGCACGATTTAAAAATAGTTGAAATTCTATGGAACATTTGATTTCTTGAACAAAAACTGTATCACAAATGTTCATTACCATCAATTAGTCTTAAAAATATTATTGCACTACTGTATTGAGCGATGTGAGTGATACGTTGAATTGAAACAAATATAATAATGGAACGGAAGTGATGCGAACCGTGTTACATGACATTCGAAACACGAATGAATCTCATTTACTCCATCATTTGACGCATACATTTGGTTGAATGTCAAAAATGTGCAAACGTGTTCCAAGAGTATATATTGTTGCTATATTCATTGTTGTCAATGTCCATTCTTTATTTTGCATGCCAAATAACTAAACAACGCACGTTACGAAAGCAACTTCCATTAAGTGATGTTGAACTTCAACAGTTGAAAATTGTCTAAAATTAGGCGTAAAAATAGTAGCTTGCGCATTTTATGCTTTAGACTGATTTATGGTAAGCTTTTAAATTAAAAAAAAAAACATTCAAATGAACTTGATCTAATCCACGAATTGATGTTTATTTTTGAACAATTGACAGATAATAATAAAAAAAATACATATTTTCTTCTTCATCATTCATGTTCTTTGGTTTTGCATTATCTCGGATGAATGATTTTTTTGTTTCGAAAAGATACGATTTGATGGCTGTCTTGAAGATAGTGTCTTCTCCCAAATTGTAAATTCCTTACTTTGAAAGTAAATTTAGTTTTTTAATATTTGTATCGAAAATACCGCGTTTATTGTCCGAAAAATGCAATTCTATGTCCTCTAACGAACAATGTTCTGTCTCAGGTAACATGAATGTCATCAAAATGAATCTGAAAATTGAGAAAAAAGAATCGAGAAATTTTGAAATAAATTAAATAATTAATTCAATTTGAAGATGGTAACGAATGTTGTTCTCTTCGAACAAAGACATGAAAGTGAGAAGAAAATCTATAAACCTAAGCGCAAAGGTGCGTTGAATGTTTGGATGTTCGAATGAAATGTACGCATCGCCGAAAATGCGGTAAAGAAGACGAATAGCTGGGTATTTTGGGCCACTTACCATCTAGCATGTAAGTTACTAATAAACAAACACCCAATATCTACGAATCTGCATAGGGGCAGTAAAATTTGTTCTATTTGCTGTATATTCGACGACGCATATTCGCCGCATTAATTTTCGCCCCTTTTTTAGCATTAAAATCTGTGCATAAAAAGGGGCGATACTTTATCCGTCGACTCTATATTCTGCTGGACATTCACATCCAAACAATTGACGCATTATCACGCTTGGAAAACTAACCCAAGAACAGCGATGATACCATAAAAGCCAATGACCCCGGGTAATGAAAGCCATCTTTCGAAGTCATAGTACGTTTTGGTTGCGATGAATGCAAATAGTTGACTTTCGACTAAGACTAAAGAGCAACAAAACGCTCGTGACCTGAAACCAATGACGAATAGTGAATTGAGTTGTTCTAGTTTTGAACTGTACTTCCCATTGAGATAATAATCAAAGTACTACTTGACTCACTTGAAGGGGAATACTTCACACATCATGATGAACGGTATGGATGAGACGCCCACCGAAATACAGAATTGCATGATCAAAAACATGACCAAAGCGAAGTAATTGTAGTGTCCGACGCTATATCGGATTGATTCCAAACTTTCTGCAGCCAGACCAATTGACGACCAACCAGCGGGAAAGAATATCCATCCATAGATGCCTGGAATGAAATTCGATGTTAATATGAGAGGATATATGTGATATCTATACGGGAATTTGAATAAAATTGTGAATTAAAAGAAATTCTTCAAATTTTTCAAGGAAAATATTTCACCAAGCCAAAATCTCCCCATACTCACTTAGTCCAAAACAGCTAACAAAGTTCCCAACCATTGACCACAGGTAGATTCGTCGTTTGCCGAGAATTCGAATGGTGAAAACAATGAAAACATTTGCCGAAATTCCAAGAACCCCAAGGATGATGGTTGTAAAATTCGCATCGAAAGCAATGCCATGAGCGTTTAATATTGGAACAATGTACGGTCTCATTGCAAACATTCCAGAGAACTGCATCACAAAAAATAGAATTGTAACTAAGAGTAGAGGCTTCAATGTTCGTTTTCTCGTCGTATCTTTTAATTTGTTCAGCAGTGTGGGTGGCGGATGATCACATTTGCTCCCGGATTTCTCACAATCACTACATGTTGCCGATATTTCACTAATGCGTTTCAATTGGTCAAGCTCGGGTGAGACAATTTCACCGGCAACCCATCCTCGAAGTACTTGTAACGATTTCTGCGCTTTTCCTGAACGATTCTTGGAGAGTAACCAAATTGGTGATTCGGGCACCTTGAAATGATTTGGAAAATGGACAAATTCGAATTATTGATGAGAGATAAGGCTAACAAAAACATTTATTTAAATATAAATTATTTATTTAAATATTTCGGGCGATTTCGTTTTAAATAAATATTATATTTATTTTTGAATAATTCAGGATTTTTTAGAATTTTTCTTCAATGTTTTGAGGGTTTTGCGATTTTAATGTGAAAATTTTCATATATTTTCCGGAAGAACAAACAATTATGACTCCAAATTTTTGGTCCATAAAATATTTTTTTTTTATTTTCAATTTTTTTCTTATTGAAAAAATTTCGTAAATATTTTGGCGATTTTTAGCCCTTTTGTAAATATTTCGGACATTTTTCATAAATATTTACGTAAATATTTCCATGGTTTTATCGTAAATATTAAATAAATATTTTGAAGGTTTTTCGTAAATAGTTTTGTTAGCCTTAATGAGAGATTTTTCGAAAATGTATTATGTGGAAGTGAATGTTTTCTTCAGAAAATGAAAGCCAGCATTGCTTCTTGATAAATAAGTTTTTTTTCTTCCAAAAATCACTTACAAATATCGCCACCAAAACATTTAGAATTGGTACAACGGCGCATGCATGGGATACTTGACGCCAAGAAAGAAATGATCCGAGCAAGAATATCATGAATATGCCAGCCGCAGCTGCGATGCCAGAGAATGCATTCAATACCTTTTGTAGAAGAAAAAAGACAATATCTCGATGTGAAACAAT